TATATATATATATATCGACACTTTATGTTTGGAAAAGTGAGACAGGGGACATTTCCATGGAAACTACTGATTACATGTACATATCATGTATGCCTATCTAACTTTCCAATTGAACACATAAATATCAAACATTAATTTCATTCCATTTCATTATTAATCAGTTTTACGATTTCTCGTCAATAGAACCTTTGAGTGTGAACTTGATTGATAGTGTTATACATTTGGCTGCCAACGCATTAAATAACATTAATTCATGCAGCGCCTTAGTGTTCCTGAATATAGCTGTAAATAGTAATTGTCTACCTGGTACATTCATGGTGAAAGTGCCTTGTACAAATCTAGAGGCGGCGGTGTCGGCAGGCACAATCAGTAACAACCAAAGGTTTTCAGAGTCAACCCCTTCGTCAAAATCCTATAAAACGGAAATGGAATGATGGAATTTGTAACTATATAAAGCATCTGATGTGAAATTCCCATTAGTAAAGCTTTAAAAACAGTCTCTAGTTTGTTTCTTTATTGAACAGTATTGATGGTAAATTGAAGGCGTTAAAAGCATGTGATTTACGGCTAAAGAAGACAGAAAGCTCTATATAGCTCAATTCGTCATTGTTTGGAGGTGCAATTGAATATATTACATTCAAGCGAGAGCAAGCCATTGACAGCTATACGTAGCATATACATAAGTGGCATAAATTATCTAAATATAGACTTGATAGCAGCATGGGTTACGAGTTGAATTTATCAATAAAACTCTTCTTTTGAAACGACCAATACTAAAAAGAGTAATTACACTTAACACATACTATAACTATGTTGATATTTGCATATACGTCAAAAATAAGGCATTTGGTATTCAAATACATATGTGTGTAACAAAACGTCCCTCTACGTATACTAACCGTGGGGGTAAATGTCAGTCTATCCTCTACGGTCTGAGGAGTATTTACTTTGTTGTATTGCCAAGCGAACTGGTTTTCTATCGGATCACTGGGAAACTGTGAAAAAAAAACATAAATATTGTTTAATATCTGTAGTATGAATTATCGTTCTATATGAGTTATCCCATATATTACAGCAGTTCGAAGTATGGAGAAGTGTAATAGATTGTTGTATCTCCATACTATGTAATAATAATTCCGCCCATCTGATTGGTTCGTACAAACAGATTGACTTTTTGACACCACGACTGGTGGTTTTACACACTATTCCCTAAATTATTGTATGATTGTGAATATTTTTAGTAGCTTCAGATGTCAGCTAAAACGCGTGTTCAATTGTTTTATAATCACAACTGGATTTCTTCCACCCATATCTAGTGACAATGGTTTAAATAAAATTCATAAATATGTCACCAATGCATTTACCAAAACCGCAAATATAGTGACAATATCAATAAAATATTTCGTAATCGCATTTAAAACGGTTACGGTAATAGGCGTTCATCCACGCGACCGGTTATACAAATGAGCCCAAACGGTCTATGATGTTTTGAATACGCGTTCACAAACTACGATCTCTGCGTTAGTTGTTAGTCTTTAGAAACTGTAAAATTGATACATGGAATAAACAGAATATCGTGGGGGTAATTTGTATTTGCTCTTCGATGAAGGCTCGAAACCAATTAAAAATACTACACTCGTTTACTAAATCTGATATTCAAGTTGTAGAATCTCTCTATTCTGGATGCATTAGTATTATTTACGTGTATTAACGCGTATGTGGAAGAGGAACAATGTTTTGTTTGACATAATATAATGTCAAATCAACAACAATATGACATCATAGGCCATTCAGTAAAATCTTATCGATTGGTGATAATTGTATGATGATGCAAGGCGAACAGGAAATCATTGCATGTTTCTACAGAATGTACTCGTAACGAATGTTGATAAAATACATCTTTGTCATTCGCTCCATGTAACCATGTCAACCAGCTTTAAAAACCAATGTAATGTATCGATCCACCGTGTTGCATTCATATCATGAGAGGCGGATATTATTTACCTAACATCCTTTGGTTTCTGTGAGATCGCCTTCTAATGCAAAGAAGTGTTCGCAATAAACTCAAACTGGTTTGTATCGATTGACATAGAAATGTGAGTGTAATGTTGATGAAACACTATTATAAGCTCTATTCGTGTGCAGGAGACGAGATTCGATAGTATATTAATGGCATATATATATAATATGTTCAAATAATGTATCCTTCATTTATGGAAAGTAGACTACAGAATAATTCTGTCGCGATGCACCTGTTAATATATGCTCGATACATTGTTGAGAGCATTATGTTAAATTGACATGCTCTGCATGATACTTGGCAGGTATTTTACCACATACATAACATGATATAGAATTTTTGACGATGCCACTGATTTTTCTTTCAAACAATATTCGTGCGCCAATGGCACCCGATTATATATTTTAACTTGATTAGTCTGAATCCAACCATCCGATTGGCTTTTGCAAGCACGTTATAATGAAGTAGGCCTTTGGCATGTGGTAGCGAATATAAGACCTCTTTGGGAAAATTAGCATGTTTGGGGCAAATAATAACTTCGCTCCCGCTCGGCTATTATCTCCCGTCAAATATGCTATTTTTTCCAGTAAGGTGTTATATTAGCTACCAAATATCCACAGTATACCATTTATACCTTCAGAATAAGAGTAAGAGTAAACACATACATTATAAATTAGAAAAGGAAATCCGGGGAATAAATGTGTAATATAAATGAATCTTTTTGACGGCTTGATACATTGTAACACTTAAACACTTGAGTGCAATTGAGGAATAAATTACGCTCGTGTGAGCAATCACAATATAAATATAAATAAATCAGTGTGCAACACATGGCGTGACACGAATTAATAAAGGCACATGTTGTAGACTCAAAATAACAAGCCCTTTTCAAATTAAAACTAGTTTCTATTGGTCGTGCTCGTTGGTTGGTTGGTTGAATTCAACTGCCATTGTAATTTATAACTATGCATAAAGATGAACTATGTTGTTACATATGTAATGCAGGTTGCTTTATTGCCCCCCCCCCCCGGAAATATAATCATCACTTTCACTACCAGTATAGAAATTAGCAAAACAAATATAATCTCGTTTTTTTATTTGTGTGATAACCGTCATATCATGCAACATTTGAGAGTGATTTACGATAGAATAGTACTCGTATAGTAGCATTCTCAAAGTTTTCAATAGATTATACGATTATATTGTTGTGTATTTAAAGTTAAAGACCAGAATTATATAGAACTATGTTGTTTGTTATAAAATTGTCAGCAGTTGGCCATCTTTAGTCAGATGGCAAAATTAGTGTATATGCGTATGTATGCTATATAATCTATGTGTAAATTTTGAAATGAATTGTTCAAGGCATGTATTTCTGAAATAGAATTTGGCAAGAACAAAATTGCCACCAGTGGTCCATCTTGAGTTGAATTCACAAATTAAGAGATCGTGCATCAACTACCCGTATTGAATAATACGTCAAGTTTGAAGATAATCGGACAACAAGTGCTGGGGTTCTGGTTCCGTCAAACTTGCAGCCAATCGGTAATCAGATGTGGTACTGTGAATAAGCCAAGATACAGCTCCGGGTGAACAAAACATAACAAAATGACACACGGGTACTAAACCATAAAAAAATTTAAAACTGGCCCGGTGCTTTGTGTTCCATTGTCTTATGTGCGGAAAACTTGAATGCATGCAATCCAGCAAGTACATTATTATAATATTCATGAAAAAAGAACTGAACAAACAGAGATTGTATAACATACACTTGAGTGAATTCAGTGTTTAATGTTTTCTTTCCATAGATCACGTGTGCCATTTCACTCTCGTAATGTTTGCTCAAATAACGTAGACCCTGATCAAATCTTTTGTTTTTTAGCATTCCTACAGAACTCAGACATTAATAAATAGCTAGGTTGTAGGCATTTTGTTCCTCTTTTTTATAGTGTACGATTTCATGTGAAACAACAACAGAATAAACCGTACACAGTTAGTTAAGTCTAATTATGACAGCGAATTACGTATACGCTCAAATATCTATAGAAAAGAGGACGTATCTGGTCATTAGAGTCCTACCATAGTATTCCATAGTAAGATGATACTATGTTTTCGACTATTACTCGTCGGTGATCATCGAGCTCTGTCCTTGCATCAATAATTGAAGACTTGTTCTCGGGTGCAGGTTTTTTGTTATTATCCTTTCAGCCAAATATTGATTCATTATTGAGTGTTTTTGCTTTGTCTGTACATAATGTTTATTTCCCCTTCTTACTTCAATTCACTTTATTTTTTTGAAATGTACACATAGAATTGAATATACCTTTCAAAATCCTTCCTCTTCTGCAATTAACTAAACAATTATAAAGCTTTACTGAACTCCATTAATTTATTGGGGGAATATAACTCGTTTATTCATTCCCGCAACATGCACTGCGAAATTAGGCCAATAAAGCGATGTTTTTTATGTATATTTTGCCTGAGGCACCATGTCCACTCTCATCAATGACTATATTCTATTCATAAAAAACAAGCGTCAGCCTGGTTTGCGTGAAATGAACAACTGAAATTGTGTAATTAAAATAGTTATGGCGATGGTGTTCTTTATGTGAATGGTAATTGGTTAGAAACAAATTATGTAAATGCCACAATTAATGCGACTTTGTGTGCAGGCACGTATTATGTTGAAAGGAAATGCCTCCCACAAAAAGTGCATCGTGTCAATTTATATTTGAGAACTGCATGGTGAGAGAGAAACACAACAGAATAAAGTTAATGTTGCATACATATATTTCAATACACGACTACGACTACATCCACTGCTGTCTCGTATTGTACAGCTAAAGCTATATACATTGTTGGTTTCACAAGGAAATATTGCACATTATTATATACGTGTGAATATCAACCAGCACAGAAGCAGGATTTGTACTGGGTGGGTGTAGTTACTGGCCACGGTTGATGGCAGCATATACCCTCCCCCTCCCACCAAAAAATAGGAGAATTTAAGTTAGTATATTTTAAGGTCATCTGAAACTGACAACTAGGAGACATGTTCTATTTAACGTTATATAACACGATATTATTTGATATTTCAGTTTAATAGCAATCTTTTGACTGTGTCGCAAATCACACGATTGTCAATTACTGTCAGAGTAAATTTTCATTTGTTCATCAAAACAAAACAATTTTTACGTTAAAGTTAC